GCATCTCATCGCAGTTGGTTTCAGGTAAGCTAACTGGAATAAACTGGCAGAAAATAGCTATGCAGTTTCTTCAGTGACCCTTAAGAGGTTCCTGGTGAGTGGTGAGGCACGACTGGGTGTATATAGCTTAGCACAGGTCCCCACCAGCTAATGTTATCTTTCGTTAGCTGATAGCTAGTTTAGCGGTTTAGCTCATGTTAGCTAACAGGCTACAACTGTGGTGTTTTCATTTTATTGTCCCTAGTTGATCTTATCTGCTCATCTGGTTATCGTGAGCACTCCTTTTGGTTTAAAGTGGAAGTGCCCGGAGCTGCCACCCGTGGTCCCGCGGCCCCCCGGCCTGACCTCCGGGGCCCTGGACGTGTGCTCAAGTGTCTGGGAGAGAAGCGGAGAGGAGCGCGGAGGTCAGGCGGGGCGGGCCGACACTGTGTATCCCAGAACGGGTGCTCAAGTGTGGGTGAGACCAGCGGAGAGGACTACGGAGGGCAAATAGTGAAGTTTAAGGATGCCTTCGATATGTTGTTAATGTGACTTTATGGGCAATTTATCAGTCGAGGTCTCCTCCTCTGCAAAGCAAACTGACCCGGTGGCTACAGGTAATAGTGCAGTTTTGAAACTACTGTTTTCCGAGATGAAGGACTGATTGTTGAGCTGCTGTTAACGCCGGATCCCGTTATTTAACCGTTTCAACAATAAATGAAGCAGAGTGACGGACCCAAAGCCTTCAGTCTGGCTAAAAGACAGCTGAAATGCTAAAAAAACACACAACACAGTGGTGAAGTTGGGATTTGTTTCTTGAAGTTATGTGCTCATCATCTTTTCTGTCTCTTGCAGGCTGCCAGGAGAAGCGGACTGGCCATCAGATATTTTTTGTGGAAATTTGAAAATTAAGTTTCTCAATTTGACTTTTGTCTCTTCATTGTGCACACTTACACACGAAATAGGTTAACAGTCAGCTGTTTTTGAATGTTAGCACTGATTTCTCACAGTGAATGGTGAAATATTTGTAGTTTGAAAAGACCGACCTAAATGAATAAAGGTCATAGTTAACGAAGCATATGAATATTAATGAAGGAGTGCAGCTTCTTTTATTGATCGTTTGAACGTCATGTGGTGGTCATTTTTGATTAAAGGCTGATGTCTCAGCGACGTCTTGGCAATGAGCAAACGCTCTCCCTGCTACGTCTTAACGATCTAAACTTTTGTCGGCTAGATGTATGTGTGCTATCTGGGTTGGATCACTACGGACGAGCAGTATGGAGATATTTTGTGGTTTCAATTATGTGTTTTTGGATGTTTGAATCTGTCGTCAACCTCCATTAGGTGGAGTTGTGTTGCTATCTCCTCTCCCCTTGGATCTCTGCAATGGATGTGAGGACTCTAAAACTTCACCTGAACCTCCCTCGGCATATGGGTGAGTAGATAATGGCTGAATTTCATTTTTGGGTGCACTATCCCTTTAAGGCGGTGAAAGTCCGTGTGGGGCAGGCGGGAGGGGGGGTTGATGGGTCCAACAAACACTGACTTTTGCCGAAGAGAGCGATGTTCATGTCCTGTAAGATTATAAAGCCAAACCCTGTTCTTTGTTCCTAAACCTAACGACTTGTGTTTGTTAATGGAAAAAAAAAGTCAATTTTTGTTGTCGTACCGAAGTAGTTAGTTTATTTTTAAAGAAACTGTATGTAAATGGTAAATTTCCTGTGAAAACAGAAGTGTGTTTTGAAAGAGTACAATGTATGTAACAGGCAGAACTTGACACGTCAACAGCCAACACTTCCAAGGTAGCTTTCGTCGTATCTGGACGTGAAAAATCCATGACCAGACGTGGTCAGAGTGACAACATGTCGGTATATGAAACTACTGCTACATGCAAGGGCCTAAGTTTTGTTAGTAACTGGGAGTTTGGGGTTCCCTGCCAGAAAATTTTGAGCATCACTCTCTTACTTTTTTTATGCTCCAACTTTTGCATATTCTGCATTAATCTGTGGTATACATTTCTTTAATTCAGTAAAAGTGAAGGTCTTCTGCTACTTTTATGTTTCTATTGGAGGGTGTCAAATTCACATGCTCTAAATATTGATGGGGACGTTCCCTCTGAAATCTTCACCTGTGACTGCCTGACATGTGCAGGAGAGAAGAAAGCAAGAGAGAACGCGACAGAAACAGAGTGGAAAATGTGCCATTAGACCACAGCCAAGCAGAGAGGGAGAGAAAGAGAAATGATTTAAGACAGATCTCCCGTTCAATCTGTACTCTCTGCCCTCCATCTCTCCCCGAGGATTCCTCCTCTCCATCCATCTCACCCTTCTTTCCTTTCCATCCTGATCCTCAGCCAACACCCTTCGCTCCCACTCTCTCTGCGCCCCGCGTTTGGGATGGCGGCAAACCAACCTTTATTCACCACAACTTTGATTCTTATTTCCAAATTAATGACCTGCTTTCCATTAGCGAAAATGTGCTGAGGACACTTTACCGTCAGGCTGTGGGGAGGAGGAGGATTAGCTGGTTTGTGGCACATCACAGAACTGTAGTGTGAAGTCATGGGAGTGTGTATGTATCGGCACGCAATGTTTGTGTGTGTGTGTGTTTCTTGACATAACTCCTGATGCACTCTGCCAAAGATTTTAAGCGAATTTAGGCCGAGAGGGTTGGACGGAGTACAAACAGCGAGCGAAGATGAGCTGGGGGTAGTTGCAACAAAAACAAACAACAAACAACAACAACAACAAAAAAAGGACAGAGTGGCTGAAATGCACGAGAGTGTGTGGAGAGACAAAAAGATAAAAAGGAGCGGGTGACAGGGAAATTAAAGAAAGCCTTTAAGCTTTTATGTAAAAAGTTTGAAGAATGAATATTTAAGATGAATATAATGGTGGCCACTTAAAAACAGAATGAAATATTAAGCAGCGTTTTTTTTTCTTCTCCTCCTGTGTTTTCTGATGAGGTTTGCCCGGTTCATGGTCGCACCCAAAGGAACTACTCTTCAAAATCTAGTTCACATTCAACATTATATCAGAGATGATACAAAATTTATAACATTTTGCTTCTCCGTCTCTCTTCAGTCGATTTCCGGGGAATTTTCTAACAGTCTCTCCTGAATTCTCTCTGAATACTATTCCCTCTTCTCTCCATCCAAGTCTAATATGTCACTTTCCTTTGAGATAGCTCTCCTTTTTTTTCTCCTACCTGTCTGCACTCCCTTCCCATCTATATCTCTCCCCCACTCCCTCCCACTATCCCTCTGTCAGTTCCTATTCCAGTTGCGTCCCCCATGTTTTTTAATCCCGCCTCCCTTCCTTGCGATAATTCCTCTCCTCTTTCCCTCCCCTGCTCCTCTCTGTCAAGCCCTCGCTTTGGCAGCCGCTCCGCTGTCCTCTTCTCCCCTCCCCACCCTCTCTCTCTCTCTTCCTGCCTCCCCTCTTCCTCTCTGTTTATCTCACTCTCGCTTCCTCGCTCTCCTTCCCTCCGTCCATCCCTCTCCGTCCTTTTCCCTAAATCAGCCCTTATAGACTGCAGCACCACACATGTTCCAGGCATGCTCCTGCAAAGACGGTGTCAGCGCAGTCATTACGCACAGGCACAAACACACACGGATGCATCACACGTGCACACGCCAACTGCAAAGGTTAGACAGACAGGAGGTGAGCAGAGATGAATGGATGATAAAAGAACAGATGACAGGAACTGGGGGAACATGAAAGGGGGAAAGAGTGAGTTCAGGAGCCAAAAAGAAAAACAAAACTGGGAGAAGAGTGTCAGTGACACATAATGAGACAGAGAGGAGCAGAGTGAAAGGGAGAGTCAGCAGGCGAGAGCTGCGCTCATTCACGCACAAAAGACACAAGTGTGTGTGTGTATGTATGTGAGAGAGAGAGGAGGAGTGAGCAAGAGAGGGAGGAGTGAGTTGGAGAGGGAGGAGTGTGTGTGAGAGAGTGTGTGTGTGTGTGTGTTAGACATTGTCATCCAGTCCTGGCAGAGAACAGCAGCAGTAGCAGCAGCGCGAGCATCACCAGCGGACGGGATACAGACGCACTGAGGCGGCGAGGAAATAAGGGAATACACACTGATGAAGAGGCAACAACAAAAGGAGAGGATGGAATAAAAAAATTCTCCTTTCTCTTCCCACTTCTGTTTGGAGCATCCCACAAGCAGAGCACCAGTGAAAACACATACATATGATATATATATAAAATTCCTATACATATATATCAAATTATGCCTGTTTTCAAAGAAGCTGCAGCCGGACAAGGACTGAATTGACAGCAAAAAATCCATTGCATGAAAAAATTTGGGAGCTAATATGCAGCACTTGCTTTAAAACTGTTGCATATTAATGCTTTGATGGTTTTTTTGTCAATTTTTTGCTCAAAAGGGGGAAAAAAGGACAAAAAAATACATTGATGCAAATGGACAAAAAGGCAAGTGAGTTGAAAGAGCTGCTGCTGCAGACAGTCCTATATTTCCAAGGGGGCTTCTTTTGAAAACAGGATTTTTTCTTTTTCTTTTTTTGATCTGCCCTCATTGCCACACGCCTGTGTGGCTGTCGCATCTCCACTTGTCTCTGTCGTCCGAATGGGCTGGGGGAGTATTATTCCGGTGAGGCTTGCACACTGAACGCTGAAAGTGCAGAGGGCAGTCCGCGGGCTCTCTGACCCCACGCTGATATTTCCTCAGCGACGACAGACCCGTGCAGCCCGGCTCGGGCTGAGAGGAGAGAAAGAAGGCAAAATATCAAAGAGAGGATAGAAGGAGATTAAGATCAGGGTGTAAAGATAATCAAAACCTGAGCAAAGGAAGGAGAGACAAAAGCATCAAAGCCACGATCAGTTATGTGGGACACTCCACTCTGGTCAAGTCATCCCAGCATCTCTTTTTACAGCTTCTCTTGGATGCAGCAACACTAAGACATTCAGAGATCCAGTATCACAACATCAGCCCCCCCCCCCCCCCCCCCCCCCCCCCCCCCCCCCCCCCCCCCCCCCCCCCCTCCCCTCTCTCTTTCCTCTCCCCTTAGCACTTGTAGGGCAGGACTGAGCGGGCTGACAGACAGAGCACCCAGCTGGTGTCCTGGGTCTGTTAGAGACCCTGGGATCCACGGAGAGGAGGGGTTCCAGTGGAGTGTGCACAGAGCAGCAGCAGCAGCAGCAGCAGCAACAGGAGCCCCGCGCACGCCGAGAACAAAGAGCCACTGGACTCCGTGTGTGTGTAGCTTAAAAGCTACAGACTGACACTGACAGAGCACTCTCACCAGGGGGATTTGAGCTGTGTGTGTGTGTGTGTGTGTGTGTGAGTGTGTGTGTGTGCGTGCGTGCGTGTGTGTGTGTGAGTGTGCGTGAGGGAAAACACGCCTCAGGTGCAGGAGCTTTTGGACTGTAATCATCAAAGGATTTCAGCTTGACGAGAGCCTGGAGTATTGTTTTAAAGAATATCGCACAGCTGCTGTTACCTGTTGGGCTGGAAGTAGGAATCCTACACAATCCTTCCAAAATAAAAGCTCAGTGTTTAACTCACAAAGACTGGATCTACACATCTCAAGAAAGGAAGTCACGTTCAGCAAAGTGGAGCAAGGTGGCAGCGAAAAGATGCCCACCACAAAAATAAAAAAGCTTCTTTTGAACAGTGACACTGAGAGCAGGAGGATGATAGATGCAAGTTAAAGATCTGAGAGGGAGAAGTGGAGGCGACTCCAGAGGAAAGCACTGCACTCTGGTCAGAGTTTTTCCAGGACATCACAACTGATCTGACTCCAGCGTTGAGCATTAGAGTTGTTATCCACTCAGGAATATGAGTCCGTCTCTGAAGTGAGAAGCCTTTCATGTGGGAGCCCGTGACTATCTTCCAGTTTGAGAGGAATCTGCCTTCTTTTTTTTTCCCTGCGAGCGCCGTCAGGAACCAAGAGTTCTCACTTTTCACGGATTATTCATCCCATCAGCAGGGGAGCTTATTGCAGGAAATGCCAGAGGCAAGTTCATTCGTAGGTAACACGCCCTCCTAAACTAGATTCCCTCCAAGCCACTGGATCTGGATTTGTCTACAGCCGCCTCTGCTGTCTGCTGATGATATATGGCTTTGTGAGAGGTGACACTTCCTAAATTTTGGAATATTTATCTGCTCTGATAAACACACACACAGTAAACTGCCAGGGATGTGTCTGTGCATGTGAGTGCCTGCTCACGAGGGACTCATTCACTCCTGTTGAGATGTGAGATTGATTTCTTTCACTCACTTGTTCCTCGGCCCCTTGACGACAATTTAACCTTCTGTAACGGCGTGCAGTAATAACTCCCACAACGCTAAGTGAATGCTCTTTATTTTTCTTCCAGGCATGCATATATAGGCTGACCGCACTCTATTTATCAAAGCTGTTATCTCAATGATTTCTGATACCTCAGAGATTCATTCAGTGACTGCAATTTAAAGCTCTGGACAAAGAGGATACTCAGCTCTCTATTTCTTTGTTGCTTTTAAACCTAGGAGCTTTACTGTCATTTAAAATTACACATCAGCACTGAGCCACCACAACATACTGGAGTAAGTCCAAGATGGCCACCTCCGTGCACCCACTTTTGGTTAGCTTGTCGCTGGCCATCCTCCTGAGTTTGACCTCTCTGGGCGGACTGAACTCCTGGCCGTCAGGTCAGGCTTTAGCCCAGGTGTCTCCCAACAACCAGACAACGCAGCCTTCTATGGTACCAGAGGCCGCGCTGGCAACTCCCACGCCAGACGTGGAGGACAAAACAGCTCCAACTAGCGGTAACCGTTGCTGGGGTTACTATGATGTCATGGGTCAGTGGGACCCGCCCTTTAACTGTAATGCAGGTATCTACCTGTTCTGTTGCGGCTCCTGCTTCTACCGCTTCTGCTGTCAGTTCAAAATCCACAGTTTGGACCAGACTTCGTGTTCTAACTATGACACGCCCGTCTGGGCAAACACCGGGCGGCCGGCAGCACCCGTCACGGAGGTCCAGGAGGAGCCGGACAAGGATCGGACCCACATGATCGTGTATATTATCTGTGGAGTGGTGGCCATCATGGTGTTGGTTGGGATTTTCACCAAGCTCGGGCTGGAGAAGAGTCAGGGAGGACAGACGGACATGACCAACTCCAGGTATGGATGGATGGATGGATGAGAGAAAAAGAGTCCTTGTTGCTCATTTAACAATATATAGCAGAAGCTTTCCAGTTAATGTCTGTTTCTATACGTTTCTTTAAAATCTTTGAAAATCATATTTTTAGAACAACAGATAACTTACTTTACTATATTTTTCAGCTTTACATTTCAGACCAACTCATAAACTTTTGGGAAGACTGGGTAGAATAAAGACTTGCAAAATGCGAAGGGCCTTTTTGGGCGCTCATGGCTCAGGTAGTATGGGAGTTGGATGAGTTCTTCGAGGGCTTGGATTGGCAGGAAGATAAAGAGTTGAAGGTGTAATTTTTAGTGTATAAAAATTTCGGAGTAGAAGGTAGAAGGCAAGAATCATCCAATCACAGAGCTTAACATTTTGTTACGTGTGCCGCTAATGGCTGGTGAGAGCTAAAGACTGCTGTGTGGAGCTGACGAATACGGAGTTCTGCAGCTTTTGTGAATTAACTTTCGGGTTCTGGATAAATTTTTGGATGTATTCAGTTACTGTGGAGTTGCCCTTTCTCACATGTAGCACACAACAGGAGACTGTCCGGGTCAGAAGCTTTCTCATGTAGTGGAAATATTGTATTTGGTTGAGGCGAGGGGTGGCGCTAGGGTGGAGTTTGCAGGAGGCAGGACATGATACAAAAAGTACACTGCGGAAATCGTTGTGTTTTGTTTACATAGCTGGTTCATAATTTGATCGTGACCAACAGAGTCTTAAATGACAATTCTGGCGACAACCCTTACCGACAGATGTTCCTGAACCCTATCATCTCTCCAGTTTGATATTTTCATTGGTGTCTTTGTGTAAATCATCCTTCTTCTTCAGCCTCTGATGTTTGTAGTCTTCCTGTTTCGCGCAGTCGCATAATAAAAATGTCATAAATGTACCAACTCGCTCGCTGGAAATTCTCTGGAAAATGACCCGCTCTATTTGCACATGGGCTTAATCTGACATTACAGACGTTTTACTGGTGAGCTGGCAGGATAAAATCCATTTAATGTCCAATCCAGCTGACTCAGACATTTGTGTTCTTGCATACTTATTTACTTAACGTACTTACTGAAGTTCTCTCACCACCCCTCAGTTTCAATTGACTTTTCCCATCTGTCTAAATAACCTTAATTGTATAATATCCGTCCAAAATAATCTGGTGTTTAAGGAAGCCCTGAAATCTATAGATATTTAAAGATTTTGCTCCAGTTGCCTTATAAATAAACCTATTCTCTAATAATATAATTAAATTAACAGTATAGGTCTTTGTCACTGTGACATCCCCCAGCATCACAGAGAAGCGATCCAGCTCCAGGTGTAAAGTCATTTTTGAGCACATCTTTTGAACCTCATCCCAAAATGCAGATACAATAAGACAAAACTAAAACAGATGGACCGTTGACTCAGGCTCTGAACCACAAAACTGGCATTCATCTGACTCTCTCTAATACCCCATATATTAGCATTTTTCTAGGAGCCAGGCTTTATATATCAAACTAAAAACCATGGTATAGTTTCCATGGTATAGGGAAGTCTATCCTGCAACCCATTTTTGATAAGAACTGACCGGTATCTTAAATAAAAATTATAAACGTCTTGGTACATCTTCCTGTTTTGCAACCATCTTTGATTTTTTTTCAGCTGGCTGGCAAACTGAAGGTCACCAGTTGGCTCTATGTGCTACTTTACCTGACTGTCTTTGCTCCCGGCGGCACATAGGTCACGTGATCACAGCCTCCTGGTGCAAATTACCACAGTATGACAGGATTAGTTTTACTCATTCATTCTTTAATTTTCCGTAACTGCTTATCCTTATAGCGGTTGCAGGGGGGCTGGAGCCTATCCCAGCTGACACTGGGTGAGAGGCGGGGTTCACCCTGGACAGGTCACCAGACTATCACAGGACTGACACATAGAGACAGACAACCATTCACACTCACATTCACACCTACGGACAATTGAGAGTCACCAGTTAACCTGCATGTCTTTGGACTGTGGGAGGAAGCTGGAGCACCTGGAGGAAACCCACGCTGACACAGGGAGAACAGGTCTTGCTGTGAGGCAGCAATGCTAACCACTGCACCACCATGCAGTTTAAAACTAATGTTAAAAGATGGCTGAAAGACAGACAGTCATGTTGTGTGATAATGCCTCTAATGTTGTTTATGCACTGTCCTACAGGTGTGTGTACTTACTGATGTTATGTGGAATATATATTGTGTGCATACATGTGCAGCATGCCTTGAGACAACAGATGAAATGTGTGCTACATCTGGTGCAATATCACAGACTGTCCCTGTTTTAAATAAACCAGTAAATGAAATGAATTACGTGGGTTAAATACCAATTCTAGTGCTTTACTTTTCGTAGGCATAAGTATGACCAGTGCATGAGAACAGCCTCAACACTGTCAGCTGCATACAAAGCGGATAGAAGAAATCTGAAATTATCAAAAAATCTTATCTGCATATTCAGTCGTATCACAGCAGTGTTCATGCATGTGCGCGATCGTGTGCGAGTGTAAATGCCTGCATGTGTGAATGCCGGGCTTGTGTGTCTGTCTGCGAATTTCTGTATGTGTGAGAAGGTCACCAGCTGGGTAATGAATCAAGTGCCTGAATCACAGAGAGGTGATAATGGGTGTGATGTCTGTACGCAACCATGAGGGAGCAACTGACATAGTGGTGGAGAAGGAGACGGAGAGAGTGAGGAGCAGATGGAGGTCAGGCAGCAGGATGGAGACTCCAGAGGAGAGATGTCAGGGGACAGTTAGGGAGGAGTGGGGGGGATTACAGTGCAGTTGTGTTGTGTTTTCTCTGTATCGGTGTAGCCGTTTCACATTGATGGCTGATTGATTGCTGTGACACAACTATGACTGTGGCAATGTGCGGCTCCAGTGAACAATGAGAAGAGAGAGGGTGGTTTTTGGAAGGGTGGAATATTGAGCGGATCTGACTGGAGTGCTGCCAACGGCTAATTCTAGTGCAGAGAACAGGGGTGTGTGTTTTTGTTGTGTGTGTGTGTGTGTGTGTGTGTGTGTGTGTGACGGGGAGGGAGAGGAAGAGAGGGAGACAGTGTGTGTGCTGGGTGTGACCGGCCAGCCTATCGGGTGTTAAGAGTCAGGCCATGGGGGCTCCTTTAAAATCCTGTCATTACCGGATCTCCTCTCATCCTTCCAGGGGAGGATGCGAAGAGGAGGATGAGGATGAGGAGGAGGAGGAAGAGGAGGATAGCAGTGGACATCAGCACTCATTAGTGTTAGACTGCGCTGAGCCACCCAGAACACAATGAAAGCTGGCAGCTCTTGGCACATTTTCTCCCCTGAATCAAACAATTATGTGTGAAGCTTTATACTTGAGTCAAGGGGTCGTTTGGGAGATGTTTCTGAAATCTGGTTGGCCGCCTGTGCCACATGCAGGTCAGACTGTCAAAGGAGATCCAGCTTTTGTCTTGAAGTTTCTCAGAAGTGACATGTGTATGCCTCCAATCAGCAGGACAGATGTTGGCAAGCGTCCGTCCCGATGAAGCGTCCTGGAGCAAGACACTGAAACTCTGCTCGCTTGACCGTTCACTTTGACCTTCCTGGATGGAATCAGTCCCACCCTCCCCGAGTGGAAATAAGAAGAATAGAGTAATAGAAGTGATCTTTAAAGGGACAGTTCACCACAAAAGCAGAAATTTTTCCTCCTTACCTGTAGTGCTTCTTATCAGTCTAGATTGTTTTAGTGTGAGTTGCAGAGTGTTGGAGATATCGGCCGTAGAGATGTCTGCCTTCTCTCCAATATAATGAAATTTAATGGACATAGCTTGTGGTGCTCAAACCGTCAAAAAAATTACATCTGAAAAACTCAACAGCAATGTCTCTTTGCAGAAATCACGACCCGGTTACTCAAGATAATCCACAGACCTTGTTGTGAGCAGTTTCATGTAGGAATTATTTTCTTTTGAAGCATGCATCTACTCCTGGATCAGACAGCGCGAGATGTGAACGTTAATGGCGTCCTCCTCGGCTGAGCTGTAACGTGAGCTAGCAGTAGATGCACGCTTCCCTCTGTGAATTCTGGAGAACAATTTTATTTGAACAATCAAAGCAATATATTTGTCTCCAGTTTTACCGCTGTTTGCAATTCAGGAATGACCCACATGATTGCTTGAACTTTATTGTCAGACCAATGCGTGTTGGCTGGTAGCCTTCATCAGGGTCACCATAACACACATTACAAAGAACAGTTAAATAAGATGGGTATGGATCAAAACATTTTTAAAAGGTTAAAACAATAAAAGACAACCAATCATATTTATACACATGCATTTCAGCCAATGGGGCATGTTGTCAAAATAGTACTTACAATTGTGTGATGGCTTTCTAATGGAGGCTGCCATCTTCCTGGAAAACTAGCCTGGCTGGATAGTTTCACAATGCAGCCTGGGAAATTCAATCTTCCCCTCAGCTGAGATGGGTTCACAAGTATGCATCACACGGCCCTTCAAATTAAGTGGTGATTTTAAGGGCTGAAAGCACTTCCCTAAAGTTTGGGACACCCTAGCCCTTCGAAGGAACGCGCAAAAACTAGGGCCAGGGCCAATTTTGAGCGGAAGTGTGAGTATTGGGATGGAACCTTAGGGCTCTAGTTTCGCAGACCGGGCGAGGCGGGAGTGCAGCGCACCTGTGCTTCGCCAACTGGGTGTGGCCAGGCGGATTTTGCAAGTTTGGCACAACTTGCGCCTGGCGCCGCTACTCCTCTTTCCCACCTCCGTCCCTCCTACCTGCGCAAGTTGGAAAGATGGAGGAGAGAAGGCGTGGAGTGGGTTTTACACACATCACACCAATCAAATGAGCCCCTCTCCTCGCCCTTAAATGCGCCGCGTGAAGGCGTAATGAGAGTTTACTCAATTCGCCATGGCAGAAGAGAGCAGCAGCGTCAGACGGCCAAACTCCTCCCAGGAGGAAACTGATGTTTTGGTCCGGGAGGTCCAAGCT